GATAGATACTTGTAAGAAGATTCCAAACATATTGGTATTATTGATACCTGTTCATTTCTTCAGCATTTTATTTATTTGTAAAGTAGTCAGATTAGATGAATCATAATGTTTTCTATCATTATACACTATGTAATATTTACCAAAGGATTAAAAAGTTAGGAATTGATCCATTTTATTCATTCATTCACTTATTTGTTTAATAGATAATTTCTGAGTGCCTACTAGGTGCTAGTGGAGAAGACATACAAAATTTTATTACCTGCATACCCAAACCTAGAAAACGTAGCAAGTCTAGTTAGGTGCCAGTCAGAGGTCCCTTAAAGAGGAGCATTGCTGTGTGAAGTGCAGTCAGACTACAGCTAACTTAATGCTGCCTTCAAAATCTGTATTAGCTTGGGAACAAAACAGAGGGCTCCAAGCCTGACTGGCCAGGCCTGGCCAGGACACAGTCTTCATGTCTGCCCAGCGTGAGACTCCCCTAATAGGCCGTCATTGCTCTGGAGCCGTCGTGAGAATATACACTGCAATATGAAGCTTGCACTCAAACCTTCATTTCCCTTCTCTTCCCATAAGTGTCTTACTCATATTATGGCCTGAAGGCCTTACTAAGGTGTTCTTGTTCTCTTCCTCATTAGCATTTATGGGTAAGACCCCGTCATTAAGTTCTTGTGTTTCTAATGTTGCGTTAGAGCCCTTCTTCCAAGAATTCCCGATTTGACATACACAATGATAAGCAGAATATATACTAATACTAACACTAATATTGATACTAATACTAATACGAATACTAATGCTAATGCTATTGCTAAGGCTAATGCTAATACTAAGGCTAATGCTAATGGAAAAGACAGCATGGGGAAAAGACTTTTGCACTAGGGAAAGGGAAGACAATGATATCCAGGCATAGTAAGTCTCTTAGAATTTGCCTTTTTTCCTCTGGCATACTTCACTCACTATCTGTTTATTTATTTTTTTTTGTACAAGTTACCTTTAACAAAATCTTTAAGTAAAAGGTGAGCTTATGCAAATATAGAGAGAACTGTGAGGGAAAGGGCTGTTGTATGAGACAGAGTTGTATCTGTGTCATCTCACAAAATAAGGTCAGGTCACCCTGCACAGATCTGCGAGGTTCACATTCAGTTCTAGAGTAATGGAGTAGGGCTACAAGCTCTTGCCATTAAAAACCATAATGGAGGAAGGATGGTTTCATGCAATGCTGAGGAGCCCGTAGTTCTCAAAATATGGAGTCAGGGATGAGATTCTCTCTCCTCTGCAGAGCATTAATGAAGTCATGGTTGTAGGAAAGAAAAAAGACAGAGCAAATGATTTTCCATGTATTTTTTTTTTTTTACAAGATGAATGATTGTTTTTAGGAGGAGTGAAAGTTTTTATTTATACAAATAGAAAACAAAACCTCCACATTACTTTGTGGCTCAATTATTAATATTCCCTCTTGCAATTATTCTCAAATCTTTGGAAAATAATTAAAATGGACTCCGACAACAAGCTAAAATTCATGCTTTCTTCTAGTTTTTCATATAAAATAATATGATGTGGAGAAAATATATCAAAGGAAAATGGGAAAATTTGGTAAAATAATGATTTTACATAGTTTCCAATGATTAGGTTTCCAATCTATTTAGATACTTGTGGAAAAATATTGGGCCAAGAATTTTAAGCCAACAAATGGAGAACAGTAGCAGAGTACAGAAGAGGCCAGTATACACATACAAGAGGTAGCGTAGATGGTACATGTATTTTAAAGTGAGGTGAGTATAAAATAATTAATATGTCATAATTCTGCAAAATCTGAATCCCTGTAAATGATGTTGAACTGCAAAATTAAAGCTGAATGTCTAATAAACCTTGGGCTCAATGATCTAAAATAAACCACCATGCATGTATTGTCATCAAGCTTTTCATTTCTGAAACTTCATCTTGAAGGAGGAGCCCATCAGAATGGGTTCCAGAACCCATACACCGTATCTCCTCCAATATCTGTTTCACTGAGATGATATTAATTTTACTCTCTGAAATCCAGTCCCTATCAGCGCCTTTCCCTTTCACAGAATATTTTTCAGAGACTCTAGGAATAAAACATAAGAGCAATGGATTCGTACCAGATGGAGGTATTGCCAAACTCCCAAAGCTTTGCTTGAGTCAGTGCGAAGAGGGGGAGAGAGAGGAACAGATGCCAGAAACAATCAGCTTTCAGGACAAGAAAAATAAACATTGAAGGAGAACTGTATCTTGCCAAAACAGATGATCAGGAAATTAAAGCACCTGATGATAAAATGCTATGTCCAGATGGCATTTATCTCTGGCTTCCCAAAGGAAGAAAAAATGATGGCTAGAAGCAAAATGCAGTTCCCAGATGTAACTAATTCCCCATGAAAACTTGCAATAGACAGAAGACATGGATTTTTTTTTAAAATTTAAAGAAGTGTACTAGTATAGATATATTTACTAATTGTTGCAATTGGATTAGTGTTGAAAATTTTAATGACTGGTATTTTTTAACTAGTTAGAAACCAATTATTGTTGTGGCTATTTAGTGTCTTTTCTAAAAATTTCTTCTGATATCTCCGAAAATTAGGAATGGCCATGTGAATTACTTTGGTTATTGAAATAAGTATAGAGAGATGAGTGTTGGCCACATGTGGAAGAGTTCACATCTGAGACTGATTGTATTCATACCTTTTTGAAGTCTTGGCAGTTGGGAAAGCACTGAGATGCCATGTAGGATCCTAAATATGGAATCCTAGAGGATGAATTAGAGCAAATCTACGTATGGCAAAACTGTTATAATTCTAAGTCTTTGGGTTTGGTATTGTTTAAGACCAAACACAACCTAATATTTCTTAATGGATGCAGATATTTAGTAATAAAACCAGGGAGTTTATAAGATACTGAATGGTTTCTCCATTCCTAGGTTTTGATAACATAGTCAACAGTTGTGTAGAAATCACATATTTTACATAAAGACTACATTATTTATTAAAGATGGATAATGTGATATTTCCCCTAACATATTAACATGTAGATATGATCCTTTTTGAGGGCCAAGTGGCTCTCAGGACTTGGATATCACATGCACTAGCTTAGATTCAAAGTACAATCAGGCTGGAAAATGTGGACAGAACCCGGGATTTAGCTCAGCAGAATAAGCACCTGCCTTGCAAGCACGAGGTTGTGAGTTCAATCCCTGGTGCCAAAAAAGAAAAAATGTGAAGAGAGGAGAAATTTAGATGTGAGAATCCGATATTAAACCTGTAGTATAAGAAATATTTGGAACTGATCCAAGAAAATTGATCCAGATATGAGATGAATCAAGGGGCAGAGGCAGAGGACAGTTATAAGGTAAGTCATAATTTTCAGAATTAATGAAGACAGAAAAGGTAATCTTAAACAGAATAAATGTTAAAACTAGACAAGTATCTACAAGAATGAAAACAACCACCTACACTTAGACCCATCGTGCTTAAAAAGACATAGAGAAAACAAAGACATAAAGAAAATCTTGATGACATCCTAGGTGGGTGGTTGAACATTTACACATGGAGAAAGAAATTAGGGGTGCATTAGGCATCAAAAGTTATACAAAGCAAGACTGGGGATACAGCTCAGGGGCACAGCACCTGCCTAGCAAATGTAAGATCATGTGTTTGATCCCTGGTACTGGGGAAAAAATTAAATTACCCAAGACAGGCTAGGTGTGGTGGTGTATTCCTTTAATCCCTGCAACTAGCAAGATATATATTTTTAAACATGACATTTGTTTCCCTTGCCTGAGAAACCCAAAGGGTAAATATGGACCACAATAGCAGAAATTGGGAAGTGGGAAGAAAATATTCAAATGGGAAGAGGAAGAAGGGCATGGAGAGAGGAAGGGAGGGAAGGAAGGAAACAGATAGAAAAATGAATGGAAGAAACAATAGAAACAAAGTTTCTTATTTTTATTGCTATGATAATTTAAAGTCATTAAAATTTGATTGATGAAGGTCTTTTACTTATCAGCAGACTTAACAAGAAAACAGGCACCATCATCTCTATATGCAGAAGATATGTTATAAAATATATGCATTAATGATAAAAGCTCCCAACTAAATAAGAATAGAAGGAAACTTCCTGCTTTGGCTTAGTTTTAGAATGCCCCTCCCCCAAAGGCTCATATTGTTAGAGTTGAGGCTGGCTTTGGATGGCAGTTAGAAGATGGGTGTCATCAGTGGTTTAATACATTCATGGGTTTATAAAGGCTGAATGTATTATTGGGGGGCAGGGCTTGGTTGGAGGTGAGTCAGTGTGGGCATGACCTGCAAGGTATATAATGTTTCCATCTCATCCTTTGTCTTTTATTTTTTTTTCTTTTCTTTCTTTCTTTCTTTCTTTCTTTCTTTCTTTCTTTCTTTCTTTCTTTCTTTCTTTCTTTCTTTCTTTCTTTCTGTCTGTCTTTTATGAGACAGGGCCTCACTATGTAGTTGGCTGGTCTTGAATTCACTGTGTGCCCAGGCTGGCCATGAACTCACTGCAGTCCTTCTGCCTCAGCCTCCTGAGGGCTGGGATTGCAGGCAGGAGCCACCATGCCAGGCTCTTCCTTCATTTACTTAACCAAATGTCAAGCTTTCTTGAATATTACTGTAATTATTCTGGCTTAAATCCTAATCATTCTTTCTGTTTGTCTTCTTTACTCTTTTTATTCTAAAAGCAAAAGGTAGAACTGATCCAGAATTTTTTTAAAAGTAGTAAATTAGCACTAGTTAATATATTGCATATTTTATTACTCTTAAAAGTAATATTTAACTCTTTTTAACAAACTGCAGAATTTTAAAAATTTATATCATGCAAAACCCATAATAACCTTAAAAAAAAAAACTATAGTGCAGAGCAGGGGTTAATCAAAATACACAGTGAGTTCTTGAAACATGTATTACAGTCAACAACACAGTGTCAGTAACGCCCTCTGAAGTTGTGCCCCTCACTTGGAGCACATCGCTCCCTTTACTTTAGCCACTTCTGGGAGCAGTTCTAGCAGTCCTCCTATCTGAGTGTGTTTGCAAGATGAAACCAACACAAAACAAATGTTGCTGCCGAATGCCACCCAACAGAAACCCCAGCGGCTGGCAAGAAGATGATGGTGAGTCCTCAGCCCTCTTATCAGTAGGTCCTGCCATTGCTACTTTTGGTCCCTCCCTAAAGTGAAAATGACCCTGAAAGGTAAACGCTGTGAAATGATCCAGAACACTGAGACTGCCATGACAGAGCCCCTAAAGACGCTTAGAAAAGAGGACTGAGAAATGGTGAGAACAGAGGGATCAGAATGTCTGAATCAAGCAGTAATGTTTTGAGAAATATTGATGACAATGCATCTGCCTCTCCAGTAAAAAGTTTTTACTGTAAATATTCAATGTAGTTTTTTGATCATGCCTCATGTTATTGGCCCTCTATATATTTGTTGAATGGATAAATGAACAATGACTAAATTCTAAATTATCGTAGAATAAAGCACAGTACTAATGAATCTTTTATTTGTTTTGTTTTGTTTTTGTGGGAGCAGAGAGTTGGGCGTTACTGGGGATTGAACCCAGTGTCTTTTTATTGGGTTACTGTTGTACCCCAAGCCCCATGATGTTATCTGTTGTCAAGAAGCAGGGCAAGATGTCTTTTAAAAGGAAGCGCTTTATTTAGCTGGCAGCCAGCCACACGGGGAGCAGTGGAGACTGACAACCTCTACTTGCCGACATAGGTGGGGGCACAGCTTTTATTGGCAAAAACCACAATACAGGATGGAGGTTCCCAAGACAAGGTGGGAGTCCGGGGAGTTTTACAAGGGACATTTGGGGCACAGTGATCTCAGAAAACGGGGTGTTGGGCTCCTTGGGCTGAGGGTTAGGTGCAGAATGTTTCTAGGATAAAATGGGTGGGGGAGGTACAAGGCTGGTGGTTAACTTATCTATGAGTCCAGCTAAGGAGGAACAGGGAACAGGGAGGGGGTGGGTGATACATGCAGAACAGGAACACGGCGTGGAGTGATCTGTGGAAAATTACCAGTTATAACAGTTACATCTCCACTCATGTTTTACTTTTTATTTTTGAGACGGGTTTTGCTGCGAACTTGTTGCTTGCTTGAGCTTGAACTTGTGATCTTTTCTTCTCAGCCTACCAAAGTGCCGGGGTCACCTACGGAACTGCAGAACTCCTGAATGTTAAGTTTCTGTCCTCTGGAGACTGTTATGTGGAAGAGAGTGTGCCTTTGTTCTGGGGAAAAAAAAAAAAACTAAAACACTGACAGTCTTATGGGTTTTTAAGTTACAGACCTTGGGCTGGAACTGGTAAGATTTAAATTCTTCTTTATAAGCATAAACAAAAAAGAGAAAAGGAGTTCGGCAGAGATAGTTTAGTGTTGGAACCACACAAAAGTGACTATGCTGTATGTCCTATGTCTTTCCTGCTCGGTTATTAAAGTTTATCAATAAATAGAAAACTTTAAAAGAGGGCATTTCTTTTTCCAGAGTTGTGAATTTCCTTCTTTGCTGGAAATCCCTGTGGGCAATGGAGAGCTTATAGGGTCAGGCAACAAAGAATTTAACTCTGTTCTGCACTGTAGTCAGTGAGCTAGATTTGTTTTCTAAGAATTGGCTTTTTCATATGATTTCTCTCCTTTGGAGACAGAGACAACTACATTTGCTGAAGTGACTTAAAGCGTCCTGTGCATGTCATCTTTAGGGTGTTGCTTATCACATAAAGCTTCTTGGCTTAAATTTTGCTGCAGTGAGAGCTGTGCTTGTGCACAGTGATGCCAGGTATTGTGTGAAGAGCCGCTGGTGTAGGGGTGCAGGCACAACTAGGTCAATTTTCTTTAGCTTGCCCCTTTTTTTTAAGTAAACCATATTCATGTTTCTTTTTGTTCTTTCAGGCGGTATTTCAAGCTGTTCTTATGATAAACATATTTAGCAACCCCTTGTGCTTTAAAAGGTATGAGCAAAGCATTATTTGAAATAATACTCCTTGCAGGGAAATCCTTAGAGTATAAGTTAATCTTGCTAAATATATACTTGGTGTTATACAAACATTGTACTGCTTAAGTACTTCATTTGAATGATAAAGATAATTTCTGTTTTTCTTCCCACTCAGAAAAAAAGCTGTGTGTGTGTGAGTGTGTCTATTTTTCTTCTATTGTGATACTTGTTACTATATGAATGTTATTTAGCACCCACTCAATGAAAAAGATGACATTATCTCAAACAACTTTTATTTATTTTGTTCTTTTAGGTAAAGAGTTTTGCAGGAATGAAACAAACTTTGCCTTTTCCATTTTCTGATTAGTGCATTTTCAGAGTGAGTTTCTATAGGAGAGTATTTAAATTATATTAATGAAAAGCAGAAAACTTGTTTATTACAACTCTCTGAGGAAACACTATACAGTTCTCTTTATCTCTAATTTACTATCCTGTGCATTAGCTTTCTCAATACTTGGACATAATTATTGATGTCCACAATTAAAAGATTTAAAGGAGAGATTTAATGTAACTTATGGTTTCAGGGGATTCAGTTCGTAGCTTGTTAGCTTCAAGGCAGAAATTTCAGGGTAGAACTGCATGTTGGAGAAAAACTACTTTGGTCTTGAAGGCAGGAAAAGAGAGCAGGGGTGCAGAGTCCTAGAGGAGTGGGTAAGGGGCCAAATATGGGCCCCAGGGCCACACTTCTATGAGTGTTACTGTTTGTTCATAAAATGATTCATGTGTTTAAAAGGTGACTGGATGTTATACGCATCAGTGCATTCATCTACTGATGAGTGCAGTAGCTAAATGTACTGTAGGGAAGTGAAGCCTTGTTGAAAGTGGGACCCTGGCAGCCTGACTTGGACAGTGTACACTTATCTCCAGCTCTTCCTTTCTTTCTCTGTTTTCTGGCTACCATGTAGTGAATAGCTTTCTTCCACCATGTGACTCTGCCATGTACTACCTGTGCTGGAGCTGGATGATGATGAATTGAACCCACTGAAACTGTAAACCAAAATCAATCTATCTTCTTTTAAATAATGAGTGTTGAGTATTTTGTCCAAGTGATGCAAAAGTGACTAATTCAATTACTGATTCATACACACCAAGAAAGATGCTTTACTAATTCTTTGGGTGTCTCTAAGCCAATAAAGTTGACAACTCACCTTCCCTGTCATACTATTTTTTAAGCATAGGTAATTTCCAGTAACCCTGCAATACTTTAAACATTTATTTTTTCATCCACTTTTTATAAAACTGTATGTATGGTGGAATTCTCTGGCTCTGTGAAATAAGGTATTGAGTGGTAGAATTTCTATACTTGGACTAAATCCCCAAGAGTTGGAAATGATTATAATTCATATGTTGCTCTCTCCTCTATATACTCTGTCTCTCCTATATAATTTGAAATTTATGCTATTCTCACAAAATATTTACTATAGTATTCTTTCTGCTAAGCAAGGAAAAATGTTCATTAAGTTCCGGAGATGAATCACCCGCAAATTGACTAATTTTTTGAGCACTTCTTTAATATTGGTTGAACAAAGTCACTACATATAAGACTTTTGCTTGAGTCACTTTGAATAACCATGAAATATTGAGCTTCATGAGAGTATAATGAATGTTTAATGCAGGGCAAATACGAAAAAGAAACTTGATACTTGATTTAAGACACTGGAATGAAATGCAATTTAAATATATAAATCAAAGTGTATTGTTTCAAGAAGTGTAGATTTTATGTGAATAAGGATGAATAAGGATGTTCTGTATTTTTTTCAACAGAATTAAAAGAACAAGGGATTAATTTTGGGATATATTTTTAGTCTGATGACATTTTGTGTGTCTCACCTGTCATTTATTGCAGTGATAGCTGATTGCAGTAAAATGAACATGTACTTTATAATAGTAGTATGGGAGTCTCATCGTATCAAACTTCTGTATAGGAAACTCTTAGCAAGGGACACACTACCGAGTATGAAATGAAAGTGCTACACTGCGGTTTCCACGTGAAGAGTGAGATGATACAAAGAGTGTGTGCAAGTTACCATTCCTTCTGCTCTTTGCGATTTCTCCTCGCAGTAATATTCTTCACCTTCGGACAGTGCTGAGTTCTAAACATTTGCTTTCACGCATATCATTTTGAAAAACTTCAAAGTGGTTGCCTTATCAGAAAGATGACCCCTTCCTCTATCTGCCCTGTCTTCAAATTGTATTCTAAGAGCTTTAAAGATGTGTATAATAGCGCGGATGGAAAAACACTGACTTAAAATTTTCCTTTAATTAGAAGAAAGTCATTGTTTTTCCATTAAATCACTGTCAATGTTATCTTCTGTATGTATGTATCGTGTTTAAATGCGGTAAGGCCACAGGCGAGAACTAGGGTGTGTTTGTCAGTAATTCAGTCAATCAGTCTGTCTGTCTGCCTCTCTGTGTATAGGTTTTAAGGTTCTCACTTACTGTCAAAACATTTAAAATTAACTATAGTGTCTCACTAGAGAAAATAAAAACTCCTAAGCAAAATAGCAAAAAACAACTTTTTTTAATTGAAAATGTGTTTTATCCATTTAAATGAGAGCACAGTAACACTGCTTGTCAAAAGTAGAAAGAACTGGTGGGGGAGATTTAAAGAGTAGCATATACTTAGATCATAACAATAAAAGTCAAAGATCCTTTTAAGGACTTGACTTAGTAGAAACATTTCATGCCTTTTGAGAGAACAATTGTAAAAGATCAAATTATCTTTATTTGTTCAAAAGGAAGAATTTTTTCCAAGGCATTGCTAGCCAATCACAAGACCTCTTTCATATTGGTCTGTGTTTTTCACGGATGCCGAGTACCTTTTGCTCAAGTGAAAGGAAATTTCTGAGATTCAGTTTTCTGTTAAATAAGTATCTCAGACGCTTTAAGCACAGTGTGAGGTTTCATGCAGTATGTGTGAAAATCTCAGTTGTATTGTGTTCAAAATACATCAGTTCCCTTATTCTGTCATTTGAACTGAAGAACCACAAGCTGCACTCTTGTCCCTTAGCGTATTATTTTAAATGTGTTTTGAATTAAAGATCTTCCAAACCTGGAAAAGACAGCTGCAGCTGCAAATGTTCTACAAGTGATGAAGGATCACTTTTTCTTACAGCCCAGAACAAGACAATCCTGCTCAGCACTCCTATAGTGCATTGAGCTAAATGTTCTAGGTTGGACAGTGGGTATATGTTGGGGAAAAGAAAGCTAGCATCAGAAAACAAATAAAATAATCCCCCCTTTCAGATAACATGATTTTGTACCCAGAAAATTCTTTTTTTGGACCGAGAATTGAACTTATAATCTTGTGCTTATCAAGCAGGCATTGTGCCGCTGAGCTAAATCCCCAGTCCCCTGTACACAGAAAATTCTGAAGAATTCATTAAGACTTACTAGAAAATAAACATATTTAGCAAGTTGCAGACTATTTTGTCAGGATGCAAAAATGATTATATTTCTATGTATTTGCAATGAACATTTTAAATGAAGGTAAGAAAATCTGTTGTATTTATAGCATTATCATAAAGGTTAGGAGACACATAATTTTAACAAATAAAATAGCACACGTATATCTGATAGCGAAATAGTATCATTGAAAGAAAATAAGAAAACCAAAATATGTGGAAAAGTGTTATGATCATCGATTGGAAATAATATTGTTGAGATGGTAATATTCTAAAATTGATCTCCAGAGTCACTGTAATTCTTGCAAAATCACATCTAACTCCTCTGCAAAAACAAATAACAAGCTAATTCCAGAATTTATATAGAGATGGAAAGGAACCAGTATCTTTAAAATAAGAAATAAATTTGAGAAATTTCTATTGAGATTTCTAATATATGATTAAAATTGGATTACTTGGGACATTTTCTATTGAAATGCTATAAATTCCTTTTAAATTATTGATATAATTCCTTTGTTGGATAGTTTGCAAATATTTTCTCCTATTCTTAATGTATCTCTTAGCTTTACTTTCTGTTTTCTTTACATAAAGAAAGAAAGCTCATGTAGATTTTTGCTCTCGTTGACAGGACTTTTGGTGGCATATACAAAATACTCTTGCCAAGGATAGTAGAAAAGATCAAAATTGGATGAATCATACTTTCAGACTTCAAAACTAACAGTAGCTAAGGTGGTACATAACAGTGTTGTAGATCTTAAAGTATAAATTAATACAATAGAATTGGAAATCCAGAAATGAACCTTTATATTTATGAATAAATGAGTTTTGCAATGATGTTAAACTTATTCTATGGGAGAGGGAAGAGTGTTTTTAACAAATGAATTTTAATATTTCAGATTTGATGTTTCCTATTACCTTAAAAATAGTTTGGTATATTTTAATATACTATAATGACATATAGAGGAAAAGTGAAACAATCTCTGTCTACACACGCACACACACACACACACACACACACACATTTACATCAGACAGTGGATGAATTGATGTCATTCAGTTTCTCAACCCTGTCTCTTTTACTCACACTTATATCTTCAAACAGTATAATAAACCAATCAGGACAGTGAACACAGGCGTATCTAACGAGTGCTTCTAAAATGGCACAATCCATCTTGTACTTCAGCATTTCTTCTCCTCAGGGTGAGCTGGGTTTGTGCTACTGAAAAAATGTTAAAATATTGTTTGCTCCCTCTAAAGACAATAACACCTGAGAGGAAACATAACCATTTGTATTCACAGACACATGCATGTGAGAAATTCATTTTTCCTGCTGTTATAATACAAAAATTTGACTGGATAATAAAAGATGTTAATAAAGAAAGAGTTTAAAGCTAACTGCTTGCCAATATAAAAATTAACAAGTGCCCATTGTAGGTAATTGATTTGAAAATTAGCCCCAGGTAGAGTCACTGCTAGGTAGCTAAGAGCTCAACTGTAGGCCTGGGTAAGCATTCAACTCAGCCTGTTTCCAACTGACAGGAGCACTTCCTGT